TAAACAGATTCTGTTTGACATAATTCACCTTTTGTGTCTGAGCAATCTGATCCAACAAAATCACACTGTTAAAATGTAAAGAATTTGCTTCTGTTTTTTTTTTTTTTTTGTGGAATACCACAGCATCCCATTCCAATATTTTCACATTTTGTTGTGCATGACCAATGTGTAGAAACTTTTTACATCAAAGTATGAAATAAGATGGGTTTGTTTTGCATAATTTTTTTTTTCAGAACTGCAATATAAATTGATTTCAGTGAGATCTGTAAAAAAATTGCTAAATTGTTAGAACTGAGGCAAAAAATCACAATTACCTTCTCATTTTTTTATGCCTATTGCCTCCACAAATTACACTGTATAACCTCCAAAAACTCAATTATTTCCCTCAAATAAAGTTTGGGAATATACTCAAGTTTTAAATGTTGTCTTGTTCTCATAGTCAGTGCAGTGTGTACATTTCTACAGTCACATTTTGCTTGAGTTTTTCTTACAATCAGTCATGTGTTAATTCTCCCAGGAGCTTCTCTCTTCATCCTTCACTCACTTCAGTGTTGTTGAAGAAGTGACAGATGGGAAGAGGGCAGAGGTCAGAAAAGGGTGGCACATCTTTCAGAGAAGCTCTCTCTATTCATCCTTCCCTTTCTCACACACACACTTACTTTCTAAATATATATTTCTTAAAAGAATTTTTTCATATTTTCCAAAATAACTTTAGCAAGTGTCTAACAAAGGTGCCAAAACACCTTAATTATGTTTGTTTAGTCCCTCTAAATTCCTTTTTTAAGATTGTGTTATAATAGTTGTATTACATCATGTTATATACACAGTTGAAGTCAGAATTTTTCACCCCCTTTGACTTTTTTTTTTTTCTTTTTTTAAATATTTCCCATATTATGTTTAACAGAGCAAGGAAATTTTGACAGTATGTCTGATAATATATATCAGAAAATATATATTATGGATATGTCAAAATTATTAGCCCCTTTAAGCTATTTTTTTCTATAGTCTACAGAGCAAACCATCATTATACAATAACTTGTCTAATTACTCTAACCTGCCTAGTTAACCTAATTAAGCCTTTAAAATGTCACTTTACACTGTATAGAAGTGTCCTGAAAAATATCTAGTAAAATATTCTTAACTGTCAGCATGGCAAAGATAAAATAAATCAGTTATTAGAAATTAGTTACTAAAATTATTATGTTTAGAAATTTTTGTTTCAATATTCTTTTCTCTTATTCAGAAATTAGTGGAAAAATAAACAGGGGGGGGGGGGGGGGCTAATAATTCAATAATTTCAACTGTATGTTTACTTATATGAAGTGCTACATTTTCCAAGGAGTCTTTGATAAACAGAAAGTAAAAATATGAAATGGAAATATTTGTTAACCTTATAAATGCCTTTATTATCCCATCCCTACAATACTTAAGTATTAATTTAATTAGGAAGACACACCCAAAATCTTTCTGACCCAATATTATAAATGATGGTGTGCGAGTGTGTATACATTCATAAACAGTAATACAATACACTGTTAATAGGACCTTATGTTTATTTGATAATCTCAACTAAATGTGGCTTTGTATCATGCATCAGAGTGTATAATTGTATGAAATGGGAGTGCATTTTAAAAAAGTCAAAACAGCAAATAGGTTTAACAACTTTTTTATTTCCCATCACAATCAAATAACAAATAAATAACTGAGCTTCAGCCCTTTGGCTTTTTTAAAGTGCGTTTACATAAAAAAAAAATGATAATAATAATAACAAACTCCTTCTCCACTTTTGAAAAGTGGCACAAAGCAATGTTTTTCACTAAACCAGTAGAAACATTCTGGCATTGCACACAAGAGTAGGACTGTAAGAGATACACATACTCTCTGTCTCCTTTTATATGCTTAGCTTGAGTGCCTTGTCCTTTAACAATGCCTGCATTCAGACCGTAAAAGCCTTGCCCACCAGAAGGAACAAAAAAAAAACCTCTCCCATGCCTTTCAGAAAAGCCATTTCTAAAACAGTCGGTTTAGCGGCCTTCACCAGCTCTCTGTTACCAAGAGAACGCGTCTTAAAAGTTCACAGGTAAGACAGTGTTAATGATAGCGTCTCTATTCAGTCATTCTGTCTTTGCACTGTCCCATTTTAAGGCATTACGACCACATCTCCCAGAATCCTGTTGTGTCTGCAGCAACAGCAACAAAGGCGTTCACCGCTCCAGTGAAAATATAAGCTCACCACACTGTTTTTGTTTATTTCAGCAAACATGACACAATCAGAGGTCAGGTTTCGGGGGCCTCTGTTTGGAACCAGTCTACTGATCATCAGCGGCTCTCAGGATGGTCCAAGGAGCGAGACCTACACATTCAGCATCTCTGCTCTGGAGATCTGCTCCTCTTTTCTCTCGTAATCCTGCACTTTTTCCAACTAGTACTGGAACCCGGTTCACACTGAAGTGACGGTGCGGACTTTGGCAGACAGCACCTGTTTGAAGCGCCTCTTCAGATCCTGCATGTTGGGAGATTTTGGCCGTGGGATGAGGGGAGATCTTTTCTTCTCTGTTACAGATGAAGTTGCATTAATGGGTGTCTGAGGCTGCAGTTTGGCCAGATCCACGCACAGTCTGTGGAAGGCACTGTGGACCTGGTTGTAGTCCTCGCTGGCAGACACTTCATAAAAGGAGCAGCTCAATGCTGAAGACAGCACGGGACCTTCTTGAGCATCAACACGCCTCACATGAAGGAGATCGGCTTTATTGGCTACTAGGATGATCGGTATGGACCTATCAGAATGAGTGCGGGTTACAAGCTGGTGAAGCTGGCCAATGAGATCGAAGCTTTTGCGGTCTGTAACTGAATAGACCATAACTACAGCATCTGCCCATTGAATAGAGCGAGACACGTGGTCAGTGCAGCTCAATCCATTAGCATTCACCTGGAAAATAAGAGAAAAAAAGACAACTGTCAGTAATGCAACACATTTGGTTAGAGTTCAAAATTTCTCCAATAGACAACAATGCACTTATTTAAAGCTGCAAAAGGATCACTTGCTATTGGCTACAAACGCTAGGAGATTTATCCAGCTAGACTTACAGAATCTTTCACCCTAGTCCCAAAAAAAAGACGTTCTGTGGTTTTGGATGACTGCCTGGTTCAGCCTTGCATGCCAAACTTGGCACTAAAATCTCTGACTAAAGACGTTTTGAAAGAACTGCCCTGTAATTGAATTAAAAGCCATTCTCTAATTTTGAAAGCGGAGGGATAATTTAGACGGGCTGGTCTACTGCAACCATTCTGAAGTGCTTATTCATATGCCCAAACACGCTGAGCACTGCTGAAGCAGCAGAACCTCCCAACCGCCGCTACAAATAAATAGTCCACAGCTCTGCAGAGTTGGATCTTTTTAATGAATCAAAGTGACCAGTTAAGAACTCTGTTTGAGTTAGACTAGGATTCGCCAAAGTCTTTATTTTATTTTAAATTAATCCAGGTCATAAAATATACAGATTTTGAAGCTGAAACTATTATGCTGGATTCATAAAATGCAAGTCAACAGACACTGGTCATGAGTGAAGTGGCAGCTGTTTGACTTGTATTATTTGAACCACCAAGGACCACAGTTTCAGCTTCTATGTGACTTTATTCATCAGCAGACAATCTTAGATGGCCTGAAGGTAAAAAAATTAACATCGAAATCTTACTTAGGTGTGAATTGCCTTTTTTATTTACACATTTAAAAGCATGCAAAAAAAAAGCATTTCCCATCCTTACACGTTTATTCAATCTTAACATTTTATCATTGGTTTTGTAAATGTGAATTACACTTAGATGAGACGAATCTTAGCTTGATGCAAAGTTGCAATGATCGTCCTTTTCTGATAGAAAAACGTCAAGCAAACATATTTTGGACTGTTTAGATCTTGCGACGCTATACAATCAGTTCAGTTTAATCGTTCGTGTCCAGTTCTTTGATACAAATCGCAGAATTAAGCAGACTTTGCTGTACATGAACGAGCTTCCCCCATATAGGAGTGCAACAGCAGGCTCCCCGCTGGCCAATTAACCCCAAGTGTTAAGCAGAAACCCGGATAAACACAAAAGAAGCGCTGAAAGACAATAGGTGAAGGTATGCGCTCTTTCTACACTTCTCACCCGTGAAGTAGCAGCGTGGGAATGAATGAAAGATGCTCTACGAGCGCTTATAACGGTTACATGTCTCATAAAAAACAAGTGTATTCCTGCATGGCTCATATGTACTCACTTGAACTCCAGGAGTGTCTTGAACTTGAATGGCCACTTGTTCTCCGTCTATCTGCACCTCTCTGGAGTACAGGTTGCCTGTAAAGCGAAAGCGCATAGTTTAATATATTTGACAACAGCAGAAATGGGTTTAATGATTCCTAAATCGGTTGTCTTGTTAGAAAGATGACAAACTTACCAACGTTTCTCTCGTAGTCGCCGATAAACCGCTTAGTGAGGAAACGAACCACCAATGCTGCAAGAAAAAGACCAGAATTTTAACGATAAAGCACACAGAACATTACAGGATGTATTGTGAGAATGTAAAATTGCTCATAGCTTGTCCACAAACTTACCGGTTTTGCCAACCCCACTGCCACCGATGACTGCGATCTTAATGACCCGGCTGGACGGGCAATCGGCGCTCGGGTACTCCGCAATAGTTGACATGTTCTGGATCAGACGCATTTTGGCAAAAGAGCGATAGGAAGATGCTATCCAAAGCTTACGAATAAAAAGGCTTAAGTCAAAATATCCACAGACGCCGTAAAAGCAATGTCAGAATCGAAGACACTGTTTTTCTCTAAATGATAAAGTATATGAATGTTTCCAAATTCCTTCTCCTAGATCTCACCAAGACTTCTACTTGGTTTTCTGAGAGCCGAGACTGGAGCTTGGATGTATTTATACAGCCAGAGAAGCGCTCGGCTCTGATTGGCTACTCAAGACTACGTTCACGCTCCATAGCTCCGCCCACAGCTTCACGTGTTCGCGCTCGCTGTTTATAGCCAAATAAAAGAGAGAGGGAGAGAAAACAGACAGCTGAGGTGTTTCTTTCTCCTGATTAACTGACAGTCGTTTCAGCAAAACCTGCACTAACAGTTGCAGAGGATGAAAATGAGTCGTGTTTTACAAGGTTAGCCGACTAGCCTGTATAAATGAGCCTGCTGAGATTTAAATGAGAGATTTTGAATGAGGCTTTGTGCTGTGATTGCAGATATCGGTAAGTTGTAAATGAGCGACTTCAAACGCGTGTAATGAGAATGTTATCTAGTCCCAATGATCTCTAAGCGCTTAATGTGTCACATTGCAGAGTTTTTTCTTCTTTTGCTAAGTCATTGATCAGCATCCCCACAGATTTGCCTCAGGACCTGTAAATAAATAAATAATCTCTCTCTCTCTCTCTCTCTCTCTCTCTCTCTCTCTCTCTCTCCCCCTCTCTCTCTCTCTCTCTCTCTCTCTCTCTCCCCCCTCTATGGATAAGATATGATTCTGTATACGTTTTTTTTGTGATTGGTTTAGTAAGAAAATGTTGGATGAGAGGAGTGACACCTCTGGTGTGATTTTTTTATTTTTTTTATTAGTCCTCAGGTGTTAATTTTGCCTCACATTGTTTTGATTCTCTTTCTTTTTTTTCTTTTTAATTCTGAAAGGGCTGTTTGACTTAAAGGAAATGTTGATCAAAGTTCTTCATGGGATGATCTTTTAGTCTATGCAGCTGAAATATAAATATGAATGTATTACATTGCTAAAAAACAAAAAAAAATTAGCACATATAGCATTTTGTTTGAAGAGGTCAGACACAAAAACTTCTAAATGCCATCTGAACACGTTAATGTTGAGTTATTTCACTGTTAAAGGCAATGAAAAGAGCTTATTCGTCGTTATAACAGTAACATTTCTGAGTCTACACAAGAGTTGGAAAAAAGCTAATTTTAGACGAAAATATCATTTAAAGGGTTTTGCATCTAAACTGTTCATATGCTTATGATAATGAGTTGTCATTTCCATTGGTTGCATATTAGTTCAAATGAATATTATAATTGCTCTCACAATCAATATTTACTTAAATCTGTGTCCTCCACCAGAGCATTTTTCTTTGATGAATCAGAGCGTATTGTGCTAGCCCACTGTACATTGGCCATTAAGCACTATAGATCATTATGTTTGACATATTCTGCCACTGTTTACTCGACACACAGTTATGGGACTCAGTGTACAGCCAAAGGATCTGTAATTGCTTTAGTCGGAGGAGTGTTTTGTGTCTTTATCCAGAACCACAAAAGCTAGGGAGCAGACATTTACCTGTCACCCATTAGCTCAGTTTGCATTCCTGCAAACTGCTGGGACTTTGAGACTGGGATTCCCTCTGCACTGCTAAAAAAGGATTAGTCATTTTGTCCAGTACAAAAATCTAAACATATATAAATCATCACGTTTATTTAATAAGCAAAATTACTTTTTTATTGTAATGTGTTTATGCCTTTTTTAGCAAAATCTAAATTGTACAAATGAATACGTTATACAGTTTATACAATACAAATAAATACATTGAATAAGACAAGACCATCTTAAGTAATTTTTCTTGTTCAGTAAGTGATTTATTGTGACTACTTGAATATTGTCTGATAACATAACACCTTATTTATTTTATGTTTAAAAAGCTCTAAATGACCAAAATTGTGATCAGTTGTATGCAGATTAAAATGTTTACTCATAAATGTATATTGTAAATTAAAATATTTTTTTTCCATTGCTTCATGTTCAATTCCTGCCAAACTTTAAAGGAAAGGTTAACAGTCATCGTGTACTGACCTGTTCCAAACCCTGACTTGTTTTCTTCTATGTATCACAATAGATGATATATTGAAGAACGTTTACCCACACAATGAAAGTCAATGGGGTCCAAAACAACACTGGATCCAACTGACTTCCAATTGAACTGGACAAGAAAAAAAAGCACTGTCACTTTTCATTCTTCAGAACTATTTCTTTAATATATGTAAATGTGGGAACTCTATACGTCACTTTTTTGTTGGAAAATGTGTTTTAAGTCCCTAAGCATCACAATGAGTTGTTTAAGTGGGTGTGCTTTAGTGTCTTCAGCATGTTCTGACTTGTCCCAGTCCCTCAGTAGTAGGCTGGGGAGTGTGTGTTGTTGGGGGATCCCAAAAAAGCCATTGACCGATCCCCCAGTAAAGTATAGCAGAGTCAGTCTGTGTTTGTTTTTTAAACACAAGTTTTAAAATGAAAACGACTACATTTTAGAAAAATATGACTTAAAACGCATGCCAGAAAATAGGTAGCAATAAAATCGTTGTACAAACTGAAGCCTGTATATTCAATTAAACACAAATCATGCCGTTAAAAACTGTTATCATACCATTATTATAGAAATTAAACAGCATTTAATCAAATTGCTTTGTGAAAACAGTTTAATTAAATTACCAGCAAATGTTTTGAATGTTACCTGTATTCAGAACATAAGATTAAAATCAGAAAAAAATATATAAGTAACTACATAATTGTAGTACAAATTTGTAAGTACAATTACTAAATAAAACACAAATGATAGTACTCATTGTAAACAATATCTAGCATTAAATTGATTTGAGATTGTCAAAGATAAAATCAAAGAAATAATAATAATTATTAGTTTATTAGATGTAAACAGTGTAAACACCTTTAAATAAGTCAACACATGTCTTGCATTAAGAAAGAAGTAATTTCCAAAATAGTTTAGCAAACAACATATATTTACATTTCAAATGCTTCACAAACATCATCATTTGACTCAACAGACTGTACAACTGACCATTTAAACTGCTTTTTTTACAGTACAGACAATTATATCATTACTAGCTTGTGCACATCTTTGTATTTGTGCAGTGCCCATGAAATGTTAATGGCAGGCCGCATGAGAGTAATTAACACGTTGCATAAGGTTTTTCCTCTCTGAAGTCTAATGTTTGATCTTGCAGCGCTTATGTTTAATGTCATTGAGCTGTTTCTTTGTGAGGTTTTTTTTTGTTTTGTCTCATCATGTTTTCAAGATCAAAGTATCGACTTGTTTTTGAACATGCATTCATCTGCATCTCTTATTGATTATTTTTGTCTTGCATCTACTAAATGCATTGTCTGATGGTTGAAAAAAATAAAATAAATAAAAAAAAAATAAAATAGCAATTGCATAACATTCTGTCATCATTTACTCAGGCTGTTCACTAATCTCTCTTGTTATTGTTCATTTTAAATAAAATAAAGCTATTTCAAAAAGCTAAAAATACAAAATTATTCATATTAAATGCATGGAAAACCTAAAACTAAAATGCAAATCAAAATCAAATCTTGCCTTGCTATTTATTGAAATAAGAGTGGAGTGGCCTAGTCAAAGTCCTGACCTGAATCCAATTGAGATTCTATGGCACAACCTTAAAAAGGTGTTTCATGGTCAAAAACCGTCCATTGTGGCAGAATTACTACAATTCTGAATTTTAAAAAACATATGTCAAATTATTCTACAAAACTTGTAACAAATTCATTACAAGTTATCGAAAATGCTTGATTTAGTAGTAATTAGGTTTAGGGGCGTACACTTTTTCACACAGGGTTGTGTAGTCTCGTTTTTTTTTTTTCCCCTTAAAAATAAAAACCTTCAAAAATGTTCAAAAAATTAAGGGGAAACACTTTTTCACACCACTGTATATATTTAAATTATCAAAACAAACCAAATAAAGTCATCAATTCTGTAATTTAAAGCTAAAATTAAATATATAATGGGAAAGGCACATTATAAACATTTATATTTATATTATTTTTGCCAATAATAATCAAATAATACAAAAATATTAACTTAAACAAAAAAAGTGGTAATTTGAAGCATCATATCAAAACAAGTTACAACAAAAGCACAAAACAAAATAAAGCTGAAAGCTAAACATGATGAATACTATATCATTATAAAATATATTACTGAAATAATTCATTGTTCCATACATTTGGGGAATTATTTTTTCTAAAGAGAATGTTAATGCTGGAAGGTGGGTGGTGTCAAGGTTGACAGTAAGAACAGCAATAAAGCACCATAAAAGCTTCAGAAATGTAATCAGTTCAACTGCTTTTCTGCAAAGCCGTCTGAATACTATATTGAGTAAGGAATTTTGCTTGTTATTTTCTAATCTTGTCCTAAAAATCTGGTCTCCATTCACTTTCACAGCTTGATCATCTACTCTAAATATCTCAATTGTTTCGCACGAAATAAAGTCAGTACAGGGTTGTGAAGGAAATGATGACAGAATTAACATCTTTCAAGGTTTGTTTTGCATCTGATAAGTTGCTGGAAGCCCTCATCCGTTGACATTTTTGCATATTTTGTGCAGGTATGCTGGCGGTGGGCCCTGCGTGATTATGAGCTGCTATGAATATACGATAAGAGGACCGATGACAGGAGGCCTTTGCTGAAATATGAAACTGATGTTTCTGATTCGTCAACGTTCGACAGGTCCTTGCAGGCTACGGGCTGTAAAACACTCACATACACACCTTTGTTCACCACATCAGAGCCACCTAAATAAGTGTATGTTACTTAAGGCCTTTGGTATGTGTTCAGTAGGCTGTTGAATTAATTTTTGGTTATACATGACAACGTTAGTGGTGTTCTTTGTGAAATGATTGAATTCTTTTGTGTTGTTCTGCTAGAAAGGACCCTTATTTGTTGGCTGGAGCTTACTTTCAAGCTGCTTGAATATTTTGGATTGTCAAAAATGGTGTATGTTGAGCCCTGTTCACTTGCATTATGTGACAAAAATCTCTGTAACCTTAATAATATAACTTTTTTCATTTAATTAAACATGTTCCACAAGTTTTCATACACTAATGATATAAATATTCGTTCTAGTATGACAGGGTGGGGCTGAATTGAATTTGAGTTTCTTTAAACCTACATTTAGTGTTTGCATCCTCTCGATTTTCTTCCCTCAAAGTTCAAGCCTGACATGTTACTTTTGCACAGATGTGAGAGGAAGAATCAGTAAACCTCTTAAAAGTTCTTACTCTTGTAGCGCTGTGTACTTACAGGGTCTTGTCTATAATGCTAATGCTATAGCAGCAGTTCTCCACTCCACTGTCAACACTAATAAGCCTGTGTTAACTGTTAGTATGTTGCCTGAAAACAAAAGGCCCAGGTGCTGCACAACAGGAAGCGTCAATGCGCTCGTCAGAGGTGAGGAAAGAGCGTGATGTAAACTTACTTAACATGTTGTTGTGGCCACGTCCAATTCAGTCTTCATGTAATTGTCAGCTAGTTAGTGTAGTGTGAGGTGGGCATGAATGCCTGTGGTGTGGCCGTGTGTGTTTGTTAGGGCGATTATGATATTTAATTAGTATTTTTAAAAGAGTTAAAAAAAAAAAAAAACTTTTTTAGTGTAGTGTTTTTTTTCTTAGAACAAGTTAAAAAGTAATAATAAAAAATATTAGTAATTGTTTGATTTATTTTATTTGAGTACTTTTATCTAATTAATTTATTTTTTGATTAATGATATATATAAACATATGTTACTTGCAATGTGTACAATTCCAGTATTGCATAAAATGCCTAGGAAATGTACAGAATCTCTGATGGTTTTAGGCAAAGTATGAAATATATATTTTTTGTAAAGATTTTGCACACTTTTCCTAGGCATTCTATGCAATGAAAGGTGACACAGTGGCTCAGTAAATAGCCCTGTCACCTTACAACAAGTTTGTTGCTGGTTCAAGTCCTGGCTGAGCCAATTTGCATTTTTGTGTGGAGTTTGCATGTTCTCTCCCTATGTTGGCATGGGTTTTCTCTGGGTGCTCTGGTTTCCACCACAGTCCAAAGACGTGGTATATGTGGTATATAACAAACTAAATAGGCTGTTGTGTAGGCTGCATGGTGGCGCAGTGGGTAGCATGTTTGCCTCACAGCAAGAAGGTCGCTGGTTCAAGTTTCGGCTGGGTCAGTTGGCGTTTCTGTGTGGAGTTTGCATGTTCTCCCTGTGTTTGAGTGGGTTGCCTCCAGGTTCTTTTACAAGTCCAAGGACATCTTGTACAGGTCAATTGGCTAAGCTAAATTGTTTGCAGTGTATGTGTGTGAATAAGAATGTATGGGTGTTTACCAGTACTGGGTTGCAGCTAGAAGAGCATCCGCTGCATAAAACATATGATGCATAAGTTGGCGGTTCATTCTACTGAGGCGACCTCGGATTAATAAAGGGACCAAGCCGAAAAGGAAATGAATGAATGAAGGCTGTATTGTATATGTGTGTGTGAGTTTGTATGGATGTTACCCAGTCTTGGGTTGCAGCTGGAAGGGTTTTTGCTGTGTAAAACATATGCTGGATAAGTTGGCGGTTCATTCCGCTGTGGCGACCCCGGATGAATACAGAGACTAATCTGAACGAAAATAAATATATAGAATGACAAGTGTTGTTTAGGCAAAGTGTCAGAACACAACGATTGCTTGTAGATCATTATGTATTTTAAAGTCGAAGGAATACGAAATAATGCAAATGATGTTCCTAACGGGAAAACAATTACAGCAGTCATGTCATCCAGGTGGATGCTGTACACTGGAGGCGGATGAGGAGCCCCCCTAATTTCTGTTTAACGGAGAGCAGATTTTTTTGAACACATTTCTAAACATAATAGTTTTAACTAGAACCTAAAGTTCGTTGACGAACTTTGATGTTGGCTTGAGAAAGCCAACGTGACTGCGCCGGGGACTCAAAGGCAGTTGGCAGGAAGCACAGCGGTTGAGAAGTGGTTGCTAGGCGGTTGCTAAGATGTTGCTAAGGCATTCCTAGGTAGTTGCTAGGGTGTTCTGAGTGGTTTCTAGGCTGTTGCTAGGGTCCACTGGACTGTTAATCGGAAGGCCTCATTTACATTTTTGATCAAATCGAGAGAGAGAGAGAGAGAGAGAGAGAGAGAGAGAGAAAGAAAGAGAGGACTGATTTGTTCAGGTTGTTTAATGCAGATCACTATAGTATAGTTAGTATTTATAGTATATATTATAATCTGAACAAAATTACATTATAATAAATATCATATAAAGAAAAATATTAAATTAAAATACTAATGAAACAATAGCACATGCATTTAGTTAATTTGTCTTTTATTTAATCAGTCTTATCAGTTTTGCAGTTAATATAGAGTACAGTCAATTTACAGTAATTTGCAGCGTTATATATATATAGTTATAGTTATATAGTTATATACAGTTTACAGGAAGAAAATTGCATTAAATACAATATTAGGCCGTCTTCATCACGTGGTTAATTCTGACCAATGACGTTGTTTCACCCCACTGGCCACTAACACAATGTTATAATCGTAATATTTAATTGTCATCACCTGGGTGATTTTATTTTTTTTTGGTACAGCATAGACCAAAAGCTTGGCTTTCATTGTCATTATCACAAGTGAGGAGAAGGCTTTTTTGCGGTACAGAATATTCTGTTTTGAAAGAAATATCTGAAGTAAACTTATGTTTTTGCCAACATAAAAGGGGGATAAAAAATAATCCTTATAACCCTAACCATAAATGTGTGTGTGTGTGTATGTATGTATATATATATATATATATATATATATACTGTTGAAGTCAGAATTATTAACCCCCAGTTGATTTTTTTCCCCTTTTTTAAATATTTCCCAAATGGTGTTTAACAGAGCAAGGAAATTTTCACAGTATGTCTGATAATATTTTTTCTTCTTGAGAAAGTCTTATTTGTTTTATTTCGGCTAGAATAAAAGCAGTTATTAATTATTTAAAAACCATTTTTGGGACACAATTATTATCCCCTTTAAGATATATTTTTTTTGATAATCTACAGAACAAACCATCGTTATAAAATAACTTGCCTAATTACCCTAACCTGCCTAGTTACCCTTATTAACCTAGTTAAGCCTTTAAATGTGACTTTAAGCTGTATAGAAGTGTCTTGAAAAATATCAAGTCAAACATTATTTAATGTCATCATGGCAAAGATAAAATAAATCAGTAATTAGAAATAGGTTTTTAAAACTATTATGCTTAGAAATGTGCTGAAACAATCTTCCCTCCATTAAACAGAAATTGGGGAAAAAATAAACAGGGGAGCTAATAATTCTGACATCAACTGTATGAATATATATATATACAGGGCTCGAAATTAACTTTTTTACTTGGTAGCACCGGTGCTCCCAACTTCAAATATTCAGGGGCACCAAAATAAATTTAGGAGCACCAGAAAAAATTTAGGAGCACCCACCAAAAATGAATGAGCACCGCTGCAAATTGCTTTTTAAGGGATTTATTGTATTTTAAAACAACATCAATAGGACTGACAAAAACCAGAAACAACTATCTAACTAATGCTGCGAAGACATTGATATTTGTGTGCAATAATTCTAAAATGAATGTCTAATAATTAGGCCATAGAATATTAGTGATGATGAAAATGACAATAATAGTAACAATGAATTCCATTTCTCATTATGATACTGCCTTGAATGTGCATGAATGTAGGTTATCTGCTATAAAATGTCTGTTACTTTATGAAAAATAATTGTATAGTTTGCATCAACCAAAAATGAAGCATTGCAGTAAGAAATATTGATTTTGTACTGCTGTTTTTATATGCATGTCAATTTAATAAATAATATTTCTGCTACAAAACAAACAAAAGATTATAATAAATAATTCAATTCAATGATGAAAGCTGCAAAGCAGTCATCAGTAAATAAATAAAAAAATAATATACACCTCAAAAAAGAATAGACAAAAGAAAGAAAGTCTCACTTCTATCACTCTTTAAAAGTTTTGGTTTCAGTTTGTGTCAATTTAAAGGTTCAGTCTGAGATGATCTTCATTTTTCTGTGTTTGTGGAAAAGCTGGCGATTCAGCCGACCCAATTTATGAGCAGGCAGAGCAGGTTTCTTGCGCTAACCATCGGCGCAATACTGGTCTTTGTTATGAGCCGCAGTTTCAGTGATCTCAGCTGGTGGATCATTGACGTGTCACGATCTCTCTCATCTACACCTCAATTTTAGGTGGGGTTTGCAAACCTGTGTGCTTTAAGTTTTTACTCTTCAGCCGTTTGCATTTCCCGTGGTCATAAAAGCTCCTTCCTGTCATCTGACAGCGGAATACCTTGAGTGATTGACAGCTAATATGAACCAATATAGCGGCAGGGAAGAGCGATTCAGCACGTTTTTACAAAAAATCAAAACAGGTCGCACTACAACCATTATCAGCAGTTGCACTAATGCGCCCAAATATGTTATGAGGTCGCATAGATTAATTTTCAGGCGCATATGCGACCAAAATGGTCGCAATTTCAGCTTCAAATGTTGTAACAAGCACGTCTGAAATGAGCCCGAATTTCTGTAGATTCAAAACAGTCAGTCCGGATATCCCCGCCTCTTAAAGGGCCAGTACTAAATTACAAAGGGCTCAAAAATAGTCTTCTGGCGCCATCTCGTGGACACTCTGACACGCTTTGAGTCTGAATTTTACAAATTTAATATAAAAAAAATATTTATAGGAAAACTGTTATTTATAATTACACCAAATAAATATGATAATTATCTGTAATTTCAAACACATCTTTTGGCCAAATTTGAGGATTGTATACTTTTTTATATGCCCCAAATACTCGATACAATTTTTTAATTAAAAAATTTTTAATTCAAAAACTACAAATCTTATCAGGATGAGGACATACAGCAACCATCTCATGGGCAGTAGGCAGCTTTTGACCAAATTTGGGGCTTGTAGCATCTAAGCCCTGGGAGGAGAAGCGATTGCTTTTTTAAGTCAGAAGCCGGAATAATAATAAGAATAATAATAAGAATAAGTTTAAGTAGCATT